ACAAGGTAGGTACCACTATGGTTCTATATTAAAGATGAAGAAAGTTGCAGCACAGAAACATCTGGTAACCTGCTCAAGGTCACAAAACTCCAGAGACCTTGCTCTTAACCACTGTACCACACTGCCTCTTTCTTAAAAAGCAAATATCACCAAAAAGAGACATTTAGTGACAACCATTTGTCCCACCGGCTGCTGCAGAACAGTGCTTCGCTAATGGAGGCAGGAGGGAGGAAGGTGGGGGTTGGCATCTCACGGGTCACATGGCAAACACTGCTTTCTCAGGCTGAAACTCAAGAGCGGTGATGCTTGTGGAATGAACACTGACAGGTTTCCCCCTCCTCCAAGAACAATCACTAGTCTGTAGGGAGCTTCAGTTCTCTGCCCAGAGCTGCGGGTTTCTTTCTTTTTTTTTTTTTTTCAGGAAGTAAACCATGTGCATCAATTATCAGGAACCCTTTAATTCAACTGGGACCCCAAACAAACACCCCGCTTTAACCCCGGGTGATGTGATACAAACAATTTACAACGCCTCAAGACCCTGCAGCATCCCGAGTAAGTAGACCGTGATCTAGCAGACAATAAAATGCAAGCCCGTGCTCATACATTGTAGGGGATTGAATGCGCCTTAAACAAAAGGATGCTATCTCCAAAATAGCACGCTCGCTGCCTTTGCTGGGCACTCAGCACGGTACCTGGCCTGCAGGTTGTCAGATTCCACCGGGCTTGGAATAAAATCCAAACTCTTTACCGTTGCCTCCTACGTCTTACATGATCTGGCGAAACTCATCTGCCTCCTAATCTCCAACGCCACTGGTTTTCTTTCCATATCCCCAGTACTCAGCTCCTTTGGGTCTATGGCAATTGTACTTGCTGTTCCCCCTGCCTGCATCAGTCCTAGAGCTTGCCCTGACCGCATCCTTCTCATCATTCAGATCTCAACGCAAGCATCACCTCCTTCCCCTGAGGCCTTGGCCTTTCAACGTCCCATTCCCCACCCCACATCATTCCAGACTGGAAGCTCTAGAGCGGGCGTTAGAACACTGTCCGGCCCTCAAGCCTTCAATACTTCAACAAATGCTTGTTGAATCCAAAAACTCTGATTACCCTTCAATCTGCCAGCTCACCCCACTCCCTCTCAAAATACCTAGGAGAATTCATTTATAAAGAAAACATAAGCAAGCGACAGCGTAACACATCGACTCAAAACAAAGCCGGTAATCCGGGGCTGAACTGGTCAATGGCATCTAAAGAAGGCCCCAAGAAAACCCCTTCCTGATCGTGCACACACTTTTCAAGAGGCGAAACCAGGGGGCCAGGGCGGCCGCCGGCGCAGCGCTGCCTACCTTGAACTCCGCGGAAAGTTGGGGCGTGTATTCGCGAGTCCAGAGCGCGCGCACCAGCG